TGTACATCAGGTTTGAAAAATTGATAAATTTAAATTTAATGTTTTATAAAAAATTTTTATGTTTTTTTTGACCTGATACACACTTCATGTCATGACCTTGTCACAGTCTGAAGATATCCAATCAAAATTGATTGTAAAACATCGTATAGAAATATTTTGCAATAGTTGGAGGGTGTATGTTTCATATTTGTAACATTTTCTGCAGATCGACTAGTTTCATGCCAAATTTTCAAGTTGTTTTAAAGGAAGTTAAAATATGTTTTGTTTAATTAAATTTCAGCATAATATTTATTTAATGGAATTTTTACTCTTTTGAACATTTCGTATTGATTGGACTTGTTTGCTTTAAATTTAAATCTTTAGAGTTGTTTTAACTCTAAGGGATGTCCATCTTCAAAGTCCAGGCTGAAGATATTAAAATGACCTATTTTACTTAATGAAAGTTGATGGTTTTACTCAGGTGCATGTTTGTGCTTAAAAATAAAAATAAAAAAATGTCAAAGATTAGGGAACCTTAATTTTAGTGACTTCTTCCAGTAATGTCAGGAATATAACAATAATAACCAATAGACCAACAAAAACTAATTTTCGAAAAAAGAAAGAATAACTTTGCCCTTTGTTAATAATTATTCGTCATATCTTTTACTTATTCATGATTGTTTTGACTTTTTCCTCAAGACTGCAGGAAGTGTGAGAAATACACACAACATCTATGACAAAAAATCAAGAAAAAAGCTAATAAAACAAGGAAAATGCTATAAAAACAAAAGGAGAAGTTTTTTTTAATTTTTTGTACAATGTCAACATTACATCATTATGTTTACTGTGATGGCATTGCTATTGATAACAAGGTTTATGTTTTTTTTTTGATAATGCCGGTGTGTCACACTTATATCTTCTACATGTTAAAATCAGATTTGAAATTTGAAACAACAAGAAAAGAAGGAAACTAAATGTGAAATCATCAAGTGAAGACAATAGAACAAAGTTTTTTTTTCCAACACAAATCATGGAGGAACAGATTATAAATAAATAATGAGTCGCCATAATATAGTGCAGTAATTTTGATTTGTTATAGTTTTATAGTAACATGTTGATTAACATATATTGTATTTTATTTTTCGTTAGAAATTATAGTTTTTTTCTTTTATAACCAAATTGTGGAGGCTGAGTTGTCAGTATGAGAACACCTGTTTCCAAAAGTACGTACCCTTAAAATGTTGCGATGTTTATATTTAAAAGATTTTCTTATTTGTATGAGGAGGCAGCTTATAGAAGAATAGTTAATGTGGGCTTTACTTAATGCTAAATGCTTATAGACTTGAACCTAATACCTGCACCCAGCCTTACTTTTAAACTTTTAGCCTGCTGGCGGCAACAGATTCTTAAGTTACCTAATTTGCAGCCATTTCAGACCAAGATCAGTTTGCTAATCTCTATTGCCTGATCATGGTCTGCACTGTTCATTTATGTCATCTAAATAAAATAAAAAAATTGTTTGCAATTTTGTTTGCAAGTGACTGCACAGTTCATTTAATGGCAGCAGCCATCTTGAAAAGTTTTTGTATGTGCCGCTGAATTCACTTGCCCATTATGGAAAAAAAAAAAGTGGTGTAGCAAGGTGCTGAAATTAATAACGACCAGGATCTGGCCATAATGACCTGGAAAATCAGGGCTGAATTTTGTTACTATAAAATAGTAAGATAGGCATTAAAAATACATGTACTTTAAAATTTTAAAACTTTACTCCTATCAAACTGGAGCTGTCAAAGTTAATGGATTTCAATTCAAAATATAAAAAATTTGGCACACAATAAAATCTTATTATAAGTCTAGTCATAGTGCTTGGTAGTTGTAACAGCTAAGCTAGACTAGCTTTTGCTCAGCTATTTCTTGTAAATTATACTTTGGTCATATGATGGGTTAAATCTTGATTTAATTTAATTTTATTATGTTTCTATTTTTAGCTATGAGAGCTCAAATCTTGTAGAGACTGTGTCTATCAACTAGAGGAAACTTTAACGACAGTTTCCTGACATGCGGACGGTCTCTGTGTGTATGACAGTAACGAACACCACCCAAAACTACTACCTCTGCTCACATACTGTGTGTAAAAACGCCTAAGAGAATCGTCGATACACAAATCACACGGACACAGGAACGTTTAGGTGTCCTATATGCCGTGAAACTATTAGGTGAGTGATTATTTTAGATTTGACTTTTAATCTTTTACACGCCTAAATTTGAGGTAATGAATTTGCCCACTGCCTTGAATTACGATTTTACAGAAATTTAAAATGCTTACAATTAAGATCCATTGTTAATATGAAGTGAATTTTGCTCAGGATAGGTAGACATTTAGGATGGCTCTGTTCTTTTCTAATGGCATACATAAAGTCAATAATTGATGACTGAGTGAGTCCTGAAGGAACAGACATATTAAAGCTTAAAGTGATATTTGAGACGTATAATTTAAACAGACCAGTCACATTGGGAGTTTATTATCATTAAAATTCCTTGACTGTGTAAATCCTAGCTGTTCTAGACAAGTTTCGCTGCATCTGATCGGATGATATACATTTTTGTAGCAGACAAGAAAACAGTCCCCTCTGAATAAATGTCTTGATGTAAAAAAAAAAAATGAACATATAATATGACATCTTGCTCTCTCTGAAGACCTTGATGGCAATGCAAGAGAATTTTCCCATTATTACATAAGATAACGGCTACATAATTGAAAATTCCCGGGGAAATACCCAATACCGTGTATGCAAAGAATTTATAAAAAATTCATTTAAAGCGGCCTTCAGATATTATTTTTTGTTGGAAAAACAATTCTGTGCAGTTTCAAACTAAGTGTTTCAGTAATTTTATCTTGGAAAAGTGCATCATATCACTGTTAAGCCTTCTTCAAAACAATGTCCCAAGAGCTATTTATAACGCGTTGGTGACTTTCTTTTCTAAAAATAGAAGATTAAGAAATGCATCATCCCCTTTACTAATTTAAATATAGAGAGCTCAAACGGACCTGTAGAATTAGAGGTAATTGAGTGAATCCCTTATTGTTTATTTATTTAATCATCGACAAATTTCATTTTCCACCTTAATATCTTTGATTTGAAAATTTTATGAAACGATTATCTGGAAAATAAACTTATTTAAGCTGATAGAAAACTGGAGGCTGCTTTAACAGATATGATTTCAACTGCTCTCTATGCAGTCTATGGTATCATGTGGAGTTATACTATATAGATATTCATAGATCTTAATAAGATATAATTCCATGGGAATAACACAACATGTCAATTGAATAAGCTGCATTGGTGATCTTTGTAGTCTTTGATCATTTAAGAACTGCATGAGAATAACACAACATGACAATTACACATATCAATATATATAGGTCATCAGATAACAAATATAATTATGCACTTATTATAATGATAATAGGATATTGAGCTACATGTAGATTACAGCTGCTAGTTATATAACAATAGCTCAATATTAGTTAATTTATTGTTAGTAAAGACAAAATGGTCATCTGACCTATTTGTGTTGGTTCAACATTAAATCAAACTAAATTGAAAAAAGAAATCACATAGATGGAAATAATTGAGAAAAATGCAATAGATCTTTTGTAGTCGTTTTTCAATACTTAAAAAAGAAAATGTAAATGAAATTAATTTTTCAAAAAGTCCTTAATCTGTCATTTTTTTCTCCATTTTTCAAATAATGAAAGTTGTTTGTTGTTTTATATTTATTAGGTTTTATTAATTAAGACACAGCTGTTACCATTTGATAGATTGTGTGACTTGGGAAAAGAAGTTTTCATTAAAATCTAAAATAACCTTTATTTAGGCTTTCATATAAGAACAAAGGGTAACGTTTGTTGTATCATAATAATACTTAACTTTGATATAGTAAATGAAAAAACTTCATCATAATATTCAGTTAAAAAATAAGATTTGCACATTACGGAATTATTCTAGATTTGTTTAAGGTTATATTGAATTTTGTACTTTTCATGCCATTGAATTAAGGTATTATGTGAGATTTTACCTGCAAATAGAAACATGACACATGCTTCTATTTGCTTTGGTAGTTGTATTAATAAAGACCATTTATAGACGAGAGAAATTCATGTCAATATAAATGCTTGTATTGATTTGTTGCAGGTATTCCTAGAGGTGGAGTCATATCTTTCCCAGCAAGCTTTATAGTCAATCAACTTTTAGACCTAATGTCTCGACAGCGTCGTGATGTCATCCCCAAATGCTCTGTACACGCTGCAGAGGAACTACTTTTCTGTGAGTCCTGTGATTCGGTCTTCTGCGTACAGTGTACCGGAGAGGAGCATAATGGACGGGGAGCCAGTGAACATACCGTCATTCCATTCTCAATAGCGATTAAACGTATGTCGGAAATCTTGCTATATAAGGCCCATTTGTGTATTAAAAATCTGAACAATGCGTTTGACAATGTTTCCACTGAAGCTCATCAGCTGGAGAACTCCGTGGAACGAACCATGGAAAATATTAACCGTTCCTTTCAAGATGTGATAGCTTTGGTTGATAAAAGGAGACAAGATTGCTTAGCCATGGTGCGAAAAATTCGTGAGGAGAAAAAAACTATATTAAAAGAACAGCTTGATTTGATCCAGTCAGAAAAACAAAAAGTTCAAGGTGAGTGTGATGGATTGCAGTATCAGGTTGAAGTGCGTAACATAACTAAAAAGATCAGTGACCTAAATGAAAAACTTGATTCCACTAGCACGTTGTCTGAGCCACGTGAAAATAGTTTCATGCGCTATGAATACAAGCACAACTCCGCTTTTAGAGATATTTCAAATGCTTTGAATAATCTAGGTCGCGTAAAAGTCAGTACAACATTCCCAGCACTTTGTTCAGCAAAGATTGGTAAAGCAATTACGCATCTGAAATCATGTGTTACCATAACAACAGTGGATTACCATGGAAACCCAAGAGTAAGTGGATCTGATCCTGTGATTGCGGATCTCAGAAATGACAAGGGCGAGTTGATTGACACAAAAATCAAAGATAGAAATGACGGCACTTACGAGATTCACTATGTAGCACCAAAATCCGGCAATTATAAAATGTGTGTAGGTATATTTAATCGACCAATCAAAGGGAGTCCATTTTCAATTAGTGTAACTGACCATAACAATCCTGTGATGAAGTACGGTACAAGAGGTACAAGAGAGGAAGGCTTTATGCAGCCTCTCCGAGTGGTTTCTGGAGATTCAGATGGGAATGTCTTTATTCTTGATACGGGTAACAGTAGGGTGAAGGTCATAGATGAATACGGAGACTTTGTTCGGCATATTGGCTCTGAGGGGTTTGAAAATCAAAGTGGAATGGGCATTGATCTGACAAAAGACAATCATGTCGCTGTTGTAAACTGGCGAACAAAACTAGTTACCTTCGTAAACCAGGAAGGAGAAATCATGAACAAATTTACGCATGACTGTTTTGTAGAACCAATTGATATTGCGGTGAATTCACGCGATGAGATTATTGTTGCTGATATCGGAGCAAGTAAGATATTTATATTCGACCTGTCAGGAAAGTTGTTGACGACTTTCGGAAACAAAGGGGAAAGGGAGGGACAATTTAGAAATATCTCAGCTGTGACTGTCGGAAAATGTGATGAAATCCTTGTAGCGGATCATAGAATTCAAGTGTTCACAAAGGATGGAAAATTTTCCCGCCAAGTTCCAAACCAGTCCAAAGGCGAATATGGCGGGATTGTTGTTGACTCTTCAGGCTATATATTGGCCACTCGTATTGAAAAAGGTCGGGGCTTTGTGCAAGTATTGAATTCAAGTGGAAAATTGATGTTTTGCATAGACAGTTGGGAGGATAAGTTGAAACGTCCAAGTGGACTGGCTGTAACTAAAGACCATCATGTATATGTGGCTGACCTTGTCGGAAATTATAAACCTGATTGTGTAAATAAAAGTTCTCCCAGTAACTAGAGTCAGAGGACAATCCTAATGTTTGTTTCATCGTTTTTATATGACTTTTATAAAGGATTTTTAATCTTGTTGGAACCAGAATTACTCCTTTACTAGAATTTATAAGGGCCTTCATGGCCAAGTGTCACAGGTTTATAGCATCAATAATTTGCTCACCACTGCTTGTTTAGAGACTTTGGACTTTGACATTTGAGGAAGCTATCCAGCTAGCTTACTGATGGTCAGTGTGTCTACTCTGGTGTTCTAAGTGCCTAAAACAAGGCATGGAAGGGTAGTTAAGAGCCTTACTTCAACAGATCAAGCTGGAAAGTCAACATAAATTTGACCTTTATCTTGTCCCTGTATAGAACTTACTACATACTGGGGAGAAAGTGTGTGAGCAATCTATTAAAGCTATTAGTAGGGCTGTGGCATGTTATTCAGGCAGTCTGTTGTTTGAATCTGGTTTAGGATGCATATATTTTGTAAAATATTTTTGAATAATGCTGAATCTTCACAGGGCTATGATGAATGTTTTACCTAACCTAATGACATTACATCTCAGTGCCTTCTCTCCTTATGTTAAGGAGGAGTTTACTTTTATCATGTGAGGAAAATTGGTGGCTCTACCAAAGGAATCCTAAAAGAGATACCTTGGAGGCAATGAAAACAATAAAATTACACGAAAAGTGCTGACCTATTTTGATTGAGAAATGATAAAAAATGCAACATTTCTCATTCCCTGTAACACAACTTAGCCAGATCTAATATTTAACATTCAATGCTTAATATACTGACATCATTTATCTTAGAGTTTTCCTGAAAATAAAAAAGTGATTTGTTTTTGCTGTTTGATAGAAATAACAAAACTACAAAGTGGGTAAGATAATTTTTTAATATTTGTATATTTATATACAGGTAATGAATTGAATGGATGATGATGACAGATGACAGCAAGTCTATGACAGATGAAGAGAAACATCATAAAGTTCCACAGTAGAGAAATGGCCCAGCAGTATACATCGGCATTATTTCCATATGCACTCTATATTGTTAATGTTGTTCTAAGTGTCTGTGATGATAAGAGAGAAACACAAAATTTATTTTTACTCTTTTTTTCCCCTTCATACATATAAGATGAAACTCTTGAAAATATTGTGTGAAATATTCTAAGGTATATTGTCATTTAATATTCAGACCTTTAAAATCTATAAAATAATCTTTGAACCTTCAACCTTGAGTTATGGGACTTGCTTGAAAGCTTGCCACGCAAATTGTAATTCTGCCAACAGATTGTTTTGTGGATAATCAATCTTGTACAAACTTTCAATGACTTTTTCTATAGTTCAAGGCTGTGAAGGTTATAACAAACACTTTCATGCCATTATTTTATCCCCGAACATTCTTCTTTTTTCCGCGAACCATTCGGCTTAGATAATTTTTGCAGCATATTTTGTTGATTTCATTCTTATTTTTTTGCTCACATAGAAACAGGGCTCAATATAAATGATTCTTTCAAATTTTGAAATCCAAACTGTTCTCTGAAACCTGATCTCTGATTGGCTTTTCAAAAACTCAAATCATTTTGTGAACCAATAGAATAGCATCTTTCATGAATGTTCTGAACAGCAGTTTTGATTGACCGTCTTGAGGTTAAATTGCATGATAAATTCTTGACTGTTGAATACAGCATGCCACTTTAAGCAGTTTCTATTCTAGGAGGGGGGATGGGAGGATTCACTCATATTTTTGAGAACTCCCCCCATTTTTTCAGAGGCAGGGGGGGGGGGGGGGGGTTTGATGAAAGGAGGGGGAATTTTACATAGCGAAAGAAGGAAAAAGATCAACAAATGTAAAAATTCTCACTTTTCGCCAACCCCTCCCCCCCACCTCCCTGCTTTTGGAACCCTAGAATAGATACTGCTTTAAACATAGTTACAGGGAATATACATACTCCAGGGTATTATTTTTATGACACTGCCAACACTATATACAGTAAGACAATGCCTCAAAATGAACTGCATAATAGAATTAACTTAAACATCACCAGTATAAGAAGTAATTGATCAAATTTAAGAAACTCTTCAGAGAACATTAACTCACTAGGAATCTCATTTTGGGAAAAAGATCTACTTTCATGAAATGTGGACCTAACAGAACTGATGTTGACACTGTATTTCTACGTTATAGGAAGATTATAATGAAAAAAGTAGGCAAAAGTTAATAACATTGTGTATCTCAGAAAATATTGTACAGATTTTTCTCAACTCTATCACAGTTTATTTGCATGAGAGACTTTTTTGGGTTTTATTATATCTAACAATATTTAACCACAGACATCACTTTCCTCTACCTCTAATTAAATACTTACACTTCTTCCAGCTGATTTTTTCAAAACCATCAAATTGTATAACATACTTGAATAACTGAACTGCTCGCTATTAGGTTATTGTCACAATCAACAATGGTACTTTTCACCCTCGTGTTGCTATCATGAATGTAGACTTGTAAGTTAACGTCAATAGTGGCTAAGGTTGAATCAGAGAGCTTGTGCATGATGTTCACTATCATGTCAGTCTCATTAAAACCATATTCTACAATCATATTCTAACTGACGTTTCACTACTTAATGTTAAGTCACATAGGTTATCGGAGGGAAAATGTAGAACCAATTCCCCGTAAGATTAACAAGCATGTTGACCATGTTAGTTTCTAAGACTAAGATGATATTTAAACAAGACTTTGCAGTCATTTATGATACTAAAGGTGGTAAGTGGCAATTTGTAAGTGTGAAGTATGATACATGTATAATATTAGTTATTAAGAGCGCACAGTTTGAAAGTCAAATTCAATTATAAATAGTAGAAATAGTAATGGACAGAGGTGACCAAAAATAGAAATATTAGTGCTTGAATCAACATCAAATTTTGTATCAAGTGTTTCAAGCTTCTGATCCATGTATCTCAGAAGAAAATGTCTAGAAATTTAACTGAAGTTAAAGGCGAAAACATGAAAAATTTGTGAAGTTTTTTTAACTTAGTTATTTGGAAAAAAAAAATGTGTGAAATCTTATAACTTAGTTATTGGAAAAAATGAAAAATGTGAAGTTTTATAACTTAGTTATTGGAAAAAAATGAAAAAATTGTGAAATTAATATTGATACTGAAATAGTTATGTGATCTGTACATGTATGTTTAAGGTGATCAAATCTCTATTAGATAAATGCATACTTTTGTGATGACTTTTTTGTGTTGATTTTTGTGTATAACACAGCTCATTCAACCCAAGTATGCACTTTGTTTTTAAATTTAGCCAGTTCATTATCATAAGGGTAAAAGTTGTAACAAAAATATTATGCAAGAATTGGTTTAATTGAGTGAAAAAGTGTGAATTTATTATTCATTTTTTGCCTGTTTAGTATTGAAATAAAAGAGGACATAAATCGTTCATAAGGTCTGGAAGATTGTGCACCATTTATCAACATAATTTTTCAGACAAGGTTAAAGAAACTTTGACATGGCTAGGAATTAAGAAAACACTTTATGGTCATAAAATTGAATTATAGGGCCATCTTGTAAAGAGTTGTTAAAGGTCATTAACTTCAAACTACTTCTCACAGTCTTAAGACTGTGATTTGAGGAAGTTAACCTGGATGCATTTTGTAGAAAGTCCTAAGTCTGAAATCAATCTTTGTGACAATTTAGCATTTTATAGAGAAAAATGTTCTAACTTATGAATCATATATTATGACTCCCATCAATGTCCAAATAGCTATGCAGATTACATATTCACAAATTAAGGACAAAGTGCATGCCAACGTATTTGTCAATTTTTTTTTCTCAAGAGAATGAATTTAATGTCAGTCAGATGTCTTTGACTAATGGTAAACATTCTTTTTTAGATAGCCTTAAGTTTGACCTTAAATTGGTCCAAGGATTTAGGATACACTTAGGATTTTTAACGAAATGCAGCCCTGAAGCTAGACTTTTGGAAATTGGGAGGTTCTGCTTTGGTGTTGGCTAGTGCAAAGGAAAGGACACTTATAAAATAGGGCATTTCTTTTAACAGTTCAGGTTAGAAAACCTAACAATAAAATTCATGTGAGAGGTCAGATGTTTACACATTGTAAATGTGAATAGATAGTATTCTTGATGTATACATGCATTACACGCATACAAGTATTTCAGATTTATACTTCATACATTTTTGTTGCACAAGATTTGTCTGAAAAAATACGATATATAAGGTCCAGTTGAACTTTAAAAAATAGTGTTATATTTCTTTTTATTCTATGCACAGAATTATAATGTTTGAAGTGTCACATCGGGACAATTGTGAGTGTATACATGTAATTGTATCTATTTAGATGAGCAGTGATGTTTGTTTCATTCTTTGAAGTATTTATAGATTGCTTTAGATATTGTTACAAATATTTGTCACACTCTCTGTTTTGTGCCATTAAAATTCATTATACATTATAATGATGGTAGAAAAAAGTGATATTACCATTACCATTAGCACAATGTGTTTCATTAATAAAAATGTTTTCTGTGTATCACAAGGTCACTGATTATCATGCAAGTTGTGACAGTTTTTTTCATGGGTGTTTTTTTATGTCTACTTATAAGTTCCTAAGCTATGAGTATTTTACGTACCGTACCCGGAAGAAGGCTATTCAGCCAATACGTTGGTATATTAAAGGGAATTTTAAGAATTTGCAGTTGACTACTTATTTGTTACTATTTATATGAATTTCATTAAATACATGAGGCAACTAATCAACATGCTGCCATGCCATGACTGTCAAGTAGAAATTTTAAAAATTTCAAAATATTAAATTTAACTGCCAAACACTATAGATTTGGTTAATTTAAGTAATTAATTCAAAATTTGCGCAATTTCACACTTCACAAAAATGCTATGCTAGAGTAGATCTACCTTCTCAAAAACTGTATAAAATAGAACTTGTATGAATAAATTTATTCATGTTTACGTCTAAGTAAGAAAAGGGATCTTTTTCT